ATTATTATTATTATTATTATTATTATTATTATTATTATTATTATTATTATTATTATTATTTTGTGGCAAATAATTAATGAAATAAATAGATAGCTACCTCTGTTAGACTGCGAGCTGCTGGAGGCGCTCCAAGGAGAGCTATTAGTTGGGCTCCGTACCGGAGAGGGTCCAGCGGAAGGGACCAATCTTGACGGACTCTTCTGAGGACTTTTTGAGGGGCCAGTGGGAGTACTGAAGGCTACTCTCTGAGCCCACGTCACCGGGAATGCACTCGTGAAATTCTCCTGCTTGCTACGAACCGCGTTCAATAGCGGTTGCGGGGGATTGGAGAAGGAAGAGCGTCTTGAACCCGAGGCCTGAGAACAAGACCAAGAAATAGGCGTAAAATTGAGTTGGCACATAGGAAGTTAAGGCTGAAAAGCCGTTGCACTGCATTGTCAGTGGGCAAAAATATTATGTCAAGGTCAAGCCTGACCTCACAGGGGTGGGTAGAGTAGCGGTTGGCACTTACTTTGAGAACGCTTGGCGAGCCGGGAGGGGTGGGAGATTGTGATGAAGGCGTCTCCAGGCGGTTGTTCATTCTGGCAGCTGCGCTGGAAACCGCAGACTGCTTCAATGTTAACTGGACAGTTTTTGTAACCGTTGACCCAGTCTCCTGGAGTACAACTGTGTGAAGATGTTTTGTACTCTTTGGCTTCTTCACATCACCCTGAGAAAGAAAACAGAAATGAGTCAATCTCTTTGTTTGCTTTCAGGACCACGGGCTTCCTTTTCAAATTAATTATCAAATGTAAAAGCTACTACTGCATGGATGATACATAATTAAAAAGGTATTAATAAATGAGCTGCATTTCTTTCAAAGAGAACATCTTTCCGAAACAGATCTGAAGAATGCAATAGTCTCCATACTTGATTTACTATTTCCGTCATTACTAGAACAGACGTACATGTAAAATAGGTTTCTGTGTTTACAACAGTGTACCTCATAATTCACTATGCACTCGACCACAGGAGGTGCGCCCGCAGTACTATTCCTCCAGCGGTCCATTACATAAGGAGGCTGCAAGGCAACAGAAACATCAAATTGAGCGACTAACATCTAGCAACAGAGCTACAGACATTTGAAAATACGACTTTTAGCAGTAAAATCTACCACCTTAAGAAAGGAATAACGTCCAACTGACGGAAATATGTATGGTGTAATGAAACAACGTCAAAGTACTACCTTTTTTGTAGTACAGAGAGCCGATACTTTGACAAACAGAAATTCAAACTCTAAAGAACCGCACCTGATTAATTGTTTGGACCTCACTGGTTGACTTGATGAAGAAGGTTACGCTCTGCAGACCAAAACCAAAATTAACATGACTTTGCCACTAACAAGTTTTAAACAAACAAAATCAGTGAACAGCACCTTCACCAGAAGCAAGGCCGTTTCATCGCCATCGATTTCCAAGAACATCTTCCACTTGTGCTCCTGCTGAACGATATGAAAAAAATCAATTCGAGAGGTATACATTGTTATATGAAAATCATCCACTATTTATTTGTTCTGATGACGAGGGCAGTGCTGAAGCTGCACACTTCCTCAATTAGTGGATAACTGTCGCTTCCTGCAACTTTTCATTGTAAAAATTATATTCGCCACCTTCCCTCGTCTTTCAACGAGCAAAGGAAGTAACAATTTATGCTTGAAATAAACTGCAGTAGAAATATTAAAATTTCAGTTGTCCGACGTTTCAATGTTTAGAACATCATTTTCAAAATAATAACTCCCGAAATAATAGTCTGAGGGACAGCCTAACAATCTTTCTTTACCTGTGTTGATTGTCCCATTCTACAATGATTCCCGAACATCAAGATAAGAGTTAACTGCTGTTGTTGTTGCTGCTGCTGTTGATTCGTCGGATTACCATTGACCAAAGAACAGCCATCCTGATACAGAAAGAGGAAATAGCAACGCAATGTCATTCTCACCAGCTGGAAAAAGTACTCGTGAACCAACGCAATAGTCGCTTGTATTTCTGCAATGTATTTTCAGTAATGTATTTTCAGTAATGCATTGCTGCGTAATGTATTTTCGTTCTCCACATTTGCAAACCTTAACATGGTGGTAACCAGCTCGAAAGAGAATAGCTACTCTGGTTACCACGCACATATTTTTTCATTCTTTCCATAACATGTGCAACATAGTTATATTTCTCTTCTCCTGTTTATTTTGTAATACTGATGTAAATTAGTTCTGTGAATAGTGTACAATAAACGTTAATTGATTGATTGATTGATTTACATTTCTTTACACGGCACGCAACGGGGAGGTGGAAAAATTGAATTTCGCCCGATTACACCCCGCCCCCCCTTCCTTCCTCCCTCCCTCCGTAAACAGTTCCAACAGTTCTCGTCATACGGCACCTTAGATTGCAGCGGTGGAAAATGCATCATCGATTCACTCTCAGACCTCAGATGTCCAATTTGTTCCTGTGAAAGCAAACCAAATTAAAGGCATTTAGTTCGCTCACTCGTTACTTAGTGCCTTTATTCAATTTGAAGAACAGTTTGTTTCACCACAAACAAGCGACTGCTACAAGTTTACACTTAAAACTTGAAATTGAAGCTTTTTCACCCACTCTGATCGGGCACATTGTACAATCAATACATCATCATTCCGTTTTCAAGGCCCCAAATTATTTAATTCCCTCAGCACTTGAATTTAAAATGCCTCCAGTATTGCTGTGTTCACCTCTAAACGCAAGTCATCATTCTTGATATAAGTATATTTTAATTTTACCTCTCGTAGTGTGCTTGTGTGTGCTTTTTTCGTTTTTTCCTTTCTATTTTTTTGTGTCTCCCTTTGCTTTTGTGCAACTGCGCGTTTAGCTTTGCTTAACTACTTTTTAGTCTAAATTATGGTCACTTTGTGTGCCGTTGACAGCATTTTTATTCTTTTGCTAAGTCTTAGGTATCTTTAACTTAGTCCTTTACTTAAGCCTTATTGGCTTCCCTTGGTTTCCTTGCCTTAAACACGTTAATATTTCGCAAGTATATCTATAAATGGCAAAATAATAATAATAATAATAATAATAATAATAATAATAATAATAAAATAAAATAAAATAACACAAACAAACAAACAAACAAACAAACAGACAAGCTGTAACAGAGAATTACAGTGTAATTACCATTAATTCAATCCTGTGTCCTAAGGATTCCACGCCCAGTGCTTTCAAATTATCCTCTGTTAGCAGAACAAGTCTGTGTAGCAAAAGCGCGATGAGTTGGTAGTAATCCAAATATACACAATTACGTTTGATTCAGTTGTCAATGCTGTAAGATGAATTAACGTACAATCTAGTAATCGTTCTCTATCTGGATACGACAAAGGCTCTCATTCTAACCAAAAAAATGAATTTGGCACTCGAGCGGGTCTGTTTCTCTGGACTTTTTCAAGGCGGCTCTTAAAACGGAGAGTTCACACTAAGGGAACTAATAAACGTAACTTGACGGTGCGCTAAACTTGTTTAAATAAAGTTCTCCCGTAAAGAACTGTACAGCACGTATCAACAACTGGCAGAAGACCTTCATTGTACCTATTTATTTTTTAAATTAAACCTATAAAATCTTCAGCACTATACTGGCATTTCCCCCAAAGAGGGGGAGAAATAGGGGGGGGGGGATCTCTCTTCTCCCCACTTTTTGAACCAATTTTTTCCTTCGCTTTACTTTAAATATTCCATGAAATTATCTCCCCTTCTAGGTTCATCCAGTTCTCCCAAATCCCATTATTTCCTTTTCTCCCTCCTCCCAACATTTTTGGGGTCATTTCTTCCTTCTCCCTATTCTGTCCTTCCTCCCTTCCCAAAAGGTAAACTAAAAGAAAACTTCACAGATGGCCATGTTGCACTGTCTTCCATAACAGATTTTAAAGATTTTAATTTAATACTGATGCATGCACAAATCCTCTTCGTTGATAACTGAAATATTAGCATATTCTGCCTGTATCTAACCAACCTTCCTCGTTTCAATCTGCCTTCTAACACGTCCTTTTACTACCACTGTCTCTGATTTGAAATGAAAACAAGCAGTTCGTAATAAGGAAACAAACTTACAGCAAAAATACCACTATTATAGCAAACTGCCAAACTGCAGTCACGTTGTATTTGTGTTAAATAACAAGCTACCAAAGACAATATTCCTCCTGACTTATGGACAGAATGATTTATATGTACTGGTTAAATGATGCATGGACTGGTGACTGTCAACCAACCCATCAACTGACTGACTGACTGACTGACTGACTGAATGACTGAATGACTGAATGACTGAATGACTGACTGACTGACTGACTGAATGACTGAATGACTGACTGACTGAATGACTGACTGAATGAATAACTGACTGAATGACTGACTGACTGAAGAATAAATGACTGAGTGACCAACTGACCCACTCACTGACTGACCAAACAATAAACTGATCCACCCACTAACTGACTGGTCGACCGATGCACCCACCAACTGACTGACTGACTGACTGACTCACCAATCAATCAATCAATCAATCAATCAATCAATCAATCAGTCAGCCGACCCACCTATGACTGACCAGCCAATTGATTGACTGACAACCCACCGTCCAACAGGCTGGCCAGCTTACCAACTGACTAAAACCAAATGACTGATCAGCTGTCTCACTAACTTGTTGACTGGCTGATACACATGACTGCGTAGGTGTTGACTGTTATTGTGACCATAACACCCACTACTCAACTTACTGACCATGAATGTGTCAAATATACAGCTTGTTTCACGAAAGTTGTCCTACAGAAGTGCAAAAGGATTTTGCGACAGTCCCGATAAGCATTATGGGTGGTGGTAGCTTTCCGTTACTTTCTGGCAGTTTACAGTGCTTTATTGCAATAGCGTGAGAGAGCATGAATACGAATATCCAAGACTTTTCCTTCCGTCGCACTGAGACCAGGGGAACTTCGATCAAACAATGACAAATACCACTACATACAGTACCTCCCGACATTGTGGCATTTGCTTTTACCATTCTGTAGGACAGACTTTCTCCAAACAAATGTAACCACGAAAGTAACAATTTTCCATTAGTCATTTCTTTCATAGAGCGCCAGCACCAGATTTGTAGCAGTATATATGCAAGTACATGTATCTATTCAAATATATGTGTCACAAACCTTCGACCAGTGATGTGATTATCCTGGAACAGAGGTACATACATAATCAAATCCTTGTGGCCACCTGCATGCAGTGAGACAAAGCACCAGAAAAACATTACTTAAAAACAGTACAGCACATGAACTTTGTCAAATACATGTAAAGTAGCACTGAATCCAATGAACAAGAAGGTACTGCTGTGTGGTATGTTTTGTGGCTTCAACAGATACAGCGTATTGGTCGTGTACCTAACACTAACAATTCATTAGATTTTTATTAGAGTATACAACTTCAGTTCTTGACTACACTGTAGATTTTCCAAGCACAGTCCACTATTACTGCATTTAGAACCTGAAGGATAAAACATGATATGAAATGGTGTTGGGATGGAAAATGTTTTGAAAAAATACTAACCAAAAAATGTGACCATTTGTTTTGGCTTGGGCTGCGATTTACATGATGAATATAAAGTTTTACATATATACAGAAAGAAGAGCACTGCATTGTTAAAGAAGTTTCAGAAGTGAAAAAATACAAAATGTTGTAAAGAGATTAACGTCATACAACATGACCGTCATCGCTGCCTTTATAAAACACAACGTTTTCCAGAACTTTTAAAAGGGCAAGATGTCATCAACTTTCATGCACTCACAGTAAGGCTTAAATCCTTTAAAGGTGTAAATATATTCACATGCAGTCACTTTCCATAAAGTAATAACTAATAGTTACTTTGACAAACTAGCAAAATGATGACGAACTATCACTTACTATTCTGTGCAACTTGCTGCAGCCACAAACACTGCAGAAATGAAATGCATTTGTAAATATGTTGCAGTATAACATATAAGTGCATGAAACAGTAACCAAAGTTGAGATACTGTACATGTGAAATGAATGAACTTTTCGAGAAGAATTTACCACGTCGCTCTCTGACCAAGCATTTACATCATGTTTGTCCAGAACCTGAAATGAAATTATCAAGAATGGGAAAATGCGTTCACGGGTGAACAACATGTACATACACTAAGCAGTTATCTTGACTACAAAAATCTTGGACAACTGAAATGAAAAAAAAATGAGACCGCTCCTCCCCTCATTTAAAAGATGGAGAAAAAAATAGCATGATTTGGTTTGAGCATGAATTCATCATTGCTTCAGAGAAAGGGGGGTTTCATTACAGTAACTGTCTTGTTTAAATTCCGTCCACTCAGGACTGCAATCATGGACAACTGAAATGAAAAATTAAGACCACACCTCCCCCCACCCATTTCAATGATGGAAACAAAAAGGCATGTTTTGGTTTGAGCACAAATTCATCAATAGCTACATGTATTATTGATTCAGGGCAAGGGGGGGCTTCATTTCTTTTTTTTGTTTTCACTACGTCCAAGAGTGTACATAATACATAAAAGGTCTCCCCCCCTAGAAGGGTAGGTACTGATATTGTAAACTTGTCAACCTTCCTCTAAGCTTTCTTGTACTAGAATGAGGAAAAATAATTAACAATTATTCACCTAAGTGGAGGTAAATATTCATCACTTTCACCGACACTGAGGTGAATAACTGTTTTAGTACATACCACACAAGCTGAATAATTAGCACACCAAAACGTTATTTTATGTGTGACAAGCGGTCAGAAATTTTAAAATCCCTTGCGCCGGCTGCTCGGAGGCAAATAGTACTTGCTAATCACCTCCGAGTTAACCAACCAGAGCGCGCAAAAAGCACTCTTCAATTGTGTGGTATATACTAATAATTTATTAGATACTTGTCAACTGGAGTTTAATAGGCTATGGGAAAGATACACTGTATTTAAACAACTGAAATTATTTTACCTTTGAAAGTGATTGTAGCTCAGTTATTTCCTTCTCTCTTTCAAGAATACGTATTTCTCTCTAGAAAAGAACAATACATGTACTGAGTAGTATTTCAAGATAATAGCAAATCCTGTGCGGCAATGGGGAAAGAAAGATAATGGTAGATTAATTCAAACCCTGGTTAACGAAATCCATGAAAAAGATGTTAATTCAGTTGCCAGAAGCATGGGACAAAGAAATCCAATGGAGATCTCAAAATTCAGACCTTAAAGTGCGATTAAAAAAGAAAACTCTGGGGCTTAGGTGATAATCGTACCTCACGTAATTCCTTCTCTTTGACAGTCAGATCCTTTTCTAACTTCTTAAGTCTGTTTAAGGTAGCTTCAATTTCATTACTGGAAGAAAAGTGGCATACATATAATGATCTGTCAGATGCTTTGAGCAACCTTGAAGTCAAAAGTATCACAGTGACAGGCTTTATTTGATGTTGCTCCTTTTGTTAACTGGTTTGAGCAGTTAGTGTAGTAGTTCGAAGGAGAAACTAAAACAGTTTGATTCAATTTCTAACTTGAAGTTAACTTCATATTGGTCACTTGTAGGTACAATGTAGTATTTGAGTACATGATTTTATTTTACTGCAAACAAAACTAATGTCTCACCTCCATTCCATTTTCTGTTGGATGAAAGAGTCTGTTTCCCGCTGCAAAGACGCTGAAAAGGAAATTTACAAATTGTTCATGATTGTGCCATGAATTGGCAGAGGAAGAGTTCATCATAAATGTCTGTTTGTGAAGTTAATTAGCAAACAATCTTGAACTTTAGTATTGACAGAGGCAAATGGATTAAACATCAGTAGTTTGTTTTCTGTGTTCATCAAGGTAGGGTTGGCTTGACAAGAACTGTTGTTGGTGACTGATGTGTTGGCAACCTGAGTGGAGTCACATTCAGAGACAAGGGAAAAGTTGTTTGTCAGTGGTTGGTGTTACATGTAAGCCTGGTTATTGAATTCATCTGGTCACACAGTTTTGCAATGACGTCCCTGGCTTAGTTACAATCTGTATGTAAAGTGTACAGTTATGTGTTTGCTCCTCAAAACTATCTGGTCAGCTCTGATGTGATACTGTTGGTTGTAAAGAGAAATAAATTTGTATATTTATTGGCAAAAAGAGTCTTAATTAATTAACTTGGCTGGTCTGACAGTCTTGAATCTCTATGAAACAATACATGAGCATGTTGTCTATTGTCAGTTCTTTTTCAACTACTACATGTGGTACCTTCAGATGTATGATCAAACTATGAGAAAAATCATTTAAGGTTGATATATTTACAGAAAAAATCTGAAGAAAAGGGACAGTCAGTTACATGTTCACATAAAGCTAGACATCTACAGATGCATATTGTGCACCACAAAATGGTTCAAAAGTTACAGTCGAATTTCATGGACATTTCACGCACTTGTGAGGTACATGTACTAACCATGCCCTTCTGTGTACCATGTACAACTCGAGAAATTGGCATCATATAGTTAAAAAAACTTTCTACAGCTAGCCTGCAATGCAGGCATATTTTGGCGAGCAATCGGGCGCGTTTTGACCAAGTGAGCACCGTCTTGGTTTCAAACTTGGAAGAGGCTTGGGGAGAGATGAAAAGGTGTCCTAGGGAGTGGGTGTTAGGCTGAAAGAGGAATAACCGGGGAGGGAGAGGGAAAGGAAAAACGCACACCACTCATCCCATGTGTGTGAAAATGTACTGTCAGATATTGTGCTGCTAAATTACATGACTTGTGTTCCATGTCTAACAATTACTGACTGAAGTAAACAAAGAAGACTGATTTCCTACTTCATTGACATTCCATTGTTAATATCACATGTCTAAATAAATGGAACAATACTTTTAAATATCTATCAGAGAGTACTCATTGCACCCACCATCTCCATTCATTGATTTCAGTATGGTCAGGATTTCCATAAAATCTGGACGTTCCTGTCAAAGGAAAAAAAAATACAACTTACTGATGTCTTGACAACTGCCAAAAATTGTACACTGTCTTGCTCTTCTGACATCTGAAAATACAATTGGGTGCTTTCCATAATGGCAAACCGACCGGTCAGAGAACAGTGGGAATACCCAAGGAAAATGGAACCACATTTTCCAATCAAACCGGGCCAACCAAGAGGAATGGCTCCTATCAATTTTTATTCCTTTCTGAATTCCTTACATAAGTGAAGAGAAGTAGGGCAATCAACCAGTTTGTCAAAAATGGAACGGCGAATTTCAGTTGGAATATTTGGACTGAAATAAGTGGACCACCTCCAGAGGTGATCCTGAATATTCCAGTAAGAAGACACTAAAACAGACCATTCCATTTGACTGCCAACCGAAATGTCCGGTATCTTTGGCATAATGGAAAGCACCCCAAGTAAAATTAACTTTCTCAGCTACAATACATTTAATTAAATACTAACCTTTGGTTCTGCAAGCCAGCATTCACTCATGAGCTTTGCAAACCTTTCAGGGCAAGTGCTTGGAATAGTCAACCTCTGAAAGATAAGTACGCCACAGACATTGCAGTACCTACAAAATGTACATATTTTCATGCACATGTGTGTAAACTAATTATCAACATTGATCAATGATGCTTAGGAAAGAGAGGTTATGCAATAATAAGTTATGCAACGATGATAATTGATTGTCAAGACAGTTTAATTTTTTGGTTTATTCTTTACTACAATCGATTCATGATTGCCACAGCCCTAGCAGTCTGTGAATATTTACCTCTCCCTCAACCACAACCAGCCAAGCAACTTGCACACCAAGAAGTCCTTTAAAGGGTACCTCTTGGGTTAGCATCTCCCACAAGACCTGAAGTTCAACAAAATGTTACCATATGTTTCACAAAACTGTTTGATCCTGCAGAAACAGTAGAAACAGTTCAACACATGATCATTCTTCAGCTCACCACAGCATATGAAAAAGTGTCACAGGCCTCAGAGATAGGTAAGCTTTGGATCACCTGCAGAACAAAAAGTGAAATAGCTTGAATCAAGACTAGCAATCCACCTTAATAGAACACAATAACAAAAAGATTTCAAATACATATAGCATCACACTGGAAATTAAAACAAAGTTTTACAGTGTGTGGTTAATAAATAACCACACAATGAAACAGATAAATTGCCCAAGAAAGAAAATAATATTATACTAATAATAAACACATGTACATGTATATGTACCCTGCATCTGAAACTATTTATCAGCAAGATCAAACAATGTTAAGATGTAACATAATAATTATTAAATAAGAGTTTCTAGTAATCAACTAGAGTACCTGCATGAAGTAAACAGCATATATACTGTATTATTGTTACCCGGTAAGTTGACACACATTCAATGTCAAACATTCTTTTTAATGTTTGAATTGGCAGTAAGTATTGTAGGTCTGCAGTGTGTGCAAACATATTTCAAATTAAGGTTATCACCTCAGGAGCCATCCAAGGATAGGTTCCCACCAGGGACATTTTAGTTGTGTTGTTAAGGAATCTTGATGTACCAAAGTCACAAATCTGTAAGAAAAAAAAGAAGTTAACTACATTTAATTACATTCCAAAACAAAACACTGATTTGAATGCTTACATGTACATTTTACCTGTGTTTGGATTAAATTGGTTGGACCAACCTTACTAAAACATTATTATATATGGGTTATTGACCAAGTCTGAAGTGTGAGGTCAAAATGGCTGGGTATTGGTCAAGTTCTTTTTTTTTGTGTGTTTATTGACCAAGACAGAGTCGAGGTCCATAAACTCGCAAAAAAAGAACAAGGCCAATATCCAGCCATCTTGACCGAACAAGCTTGGTCAATAAAGGATTTATTATATGGCTTTCGGGGAAATTTTCCTTGTGGGACACAGCGGGTAGTCCTGAGCGGGCAAGGTAGCTCCATCTTGCCCACTTGGGTAGCCAATCACAGCAGAGGATTTGATTCATCTTGCCAGCTCATGGAGCTAGCCATATAATAAAAGTATATACAGTAAGCTTACTGAATGCCAACAATGGCTCTTACTTTAAACTAATATTTTGGTACTTACTTTGATTGTTAGGTTAGAGCAAATCACAACTGTAAAAGGAAACCAAAGCAAGTCAGTTTAATAAGATTTAAGAATGAAGTCAGCTGCACAAAAGCATTGCATGAAGTGTCAATGCTTAAATTTTAATAACCCCATTTAGTAATCATGAGAAAAAAACCATTTTATCGAAGAACAGATGTTGCATTTACCATTTTTGGACTTCAGATCTCTGTGAATTACTTTCACTGGAGCTTCATGGTGGAGATAATTGATTCCTTGAATAAGAACAAAAAAGTCATAGGTCATTTACACCCTCTTTCAGTGTTATGTGCATAGGCGACATCTTTTGACATGCCATCTCTCAATGTGTTAAGTAACCTGGCCTAAAATGTAAGCACAATGCACAAGTTTCTTTATGGTTGAACTTGACATTTAGTCATGAAAGATGAATTGATTTGCAGACATCAGAATAAGAGTCAATTTTAGATACATGTCAATCAACTGTTTTGAATATGTTTACATCTTTTGAATATTAAAAGCAGTACTAGCGGCCCAATTCTACCAAAAGTCACTATTGAGAGCTGATTGACTACACTCAAATTGTTTGATTTATCCCGTAAATCGGGAAACATGCAAAGTCCACAATTTTCTACTGCCATTTGAGGTCAGTAATTATCCTCTATTTGTCATTTCTTCCCCTAATAACCAGAAAAATTGCAAGTTTCACAGTTAAATGGTCTTTCAGCCATTTACATACATGTCAAAAGATGACTGAAAGGTGTCAGCTAAGCATGTTACACTGAAAACAGGTGTAATAATCTGGTCATAGATCTAAATTCCACATCTTTTTGAGCCATTGAAATATTGCTTTAATTAGCCCTCTCAGCTCCCTGTTCAACCTAATTTTCTGTACTGTTAAATACTTTAGTTAGTACATGTAATTTGCACATGAGTATGTGATTTATTGTGCTGGTGTCAGGCAAAGTAAATTGCAACATGAAATTTGTAACAAAAAATAATGAAGAGGGCTGGTCTACTACAGGTACATGTTAAGTGGCTGTCTATGAGACTGGTGTCTGTTATTGGAAGTTAGACTCTGACTACGTTATCATGCATGCATACATGCACTGTAGATGCACATCAACAAGACCTTACAATACAGTCAAACCTCCAGTTGTGACCTCCTTTCATAAATGACCACTTCTCCTCAGCAAACAGTTTTCCAAACTACCAAAAGTTATGTTTCCAAGTCAAATCACTATTAATAGTTTTGGGACCTCCCATAAGCGACTGCGAACACTTTTAGTCTGTTTTAGAGCTGATAGTTTGAAATTTTATTTTGTTTTTAACCTCCTGTAAGAGACCAGATAATAGAGCGGAAATTGGATAACAAAATGCTGTACATAACATTATCGCCTCCCTGGGTAGTACAAGAGATGGAAATTTCTCAATGGGTGGTACCCGATGTTTTCTCTAAGCTTACTTTTTAGAGGAATAAAACATTTAAAACATGGCATACTGGTATGTCTCTGCAGTTACCATATGTTAAGGAGGTGAAATTTTGATCCAATATGGTCTAAGCTCTTGTAAGTGACCACCTCCCGTACATGTAGATTGATGGCCACATCTACAGTACAGGCTAGACAATATTTTGGATGGTCTCTTACAGGAGGTTTGACTGTATCAGTTTTGATGTCAAATTACGTGTAGAACTTCGTTATTTTATTAATTACATGTATGTACCTAGCGATCATCATTCTTTCTTTCTCACACATGAAAGGTAATTTACGATGATGAAGCCAAAAGAAATCCATCTGATAACAGGTACTCTTTACATCAAAACTTAGTACACATTCATGATTACACTGGTTGCCTGATTACACTGGTGGCCTGTTAGGTATAGCATACATTTTAAAATTTTACTTTTCACTTTTAAAGCACTAAATGGTATGGCAAAAGCTTATATTAGTGATCAAATCAATGTAAGAAAGCATGCACGCTATTTATCACGCTCTAATTCAGGCACTATTCTATTACATCCAGCAAGGAAAATGAATCAAAATCGTTTGGTGATAGAGCTGCGCCTACACTATGGAATGTGCTCCCAGCAAGCCCGTGCAATATTGATTCCATTTCAACTTTTGAATTTTGTCATAAAACATATATCTTATTAAGTTCTAAGCTTTCAGCCTTTAGCATTTAAATTACTTTGTTTTTGTTAAATTTAGTTTATATATATTTATGTACATTATTTCGTACATTTTAATACTGTAACGCACTTTTGATCATTGTACATGTATTTTAAAAAGTGCAATATAAATTAATAAATTATTATCATTATTATTATTATTATTATTATTATGTATTTTGTTGCTTATTCACTTCAGTTTTGATTAAAAATGTCTCCATTTTTAATGGTTAAAAGCATGATTCTGATTTTTCTGATTACTCTTGTCCTACATACTGTACATGCATGTGTAGTCATCAGCAGTGTCTATAAAGGAGTGCATAGGCCAAAAAGGGGTTTATTTTTGTGGGAGGGGAGTCAGTAAAAATGGTTTTCCCAGCTGGGTAGTATATCTAATTTAGAATCGGATACATGCACACTATTTGAAAATAACTTGCTTACCAAGTGCGATCTCTGTGGACCATCTTAGAATTTGCTCAAAATTGAGCTTATTGTTTGCAAGGTGATCATAAAGACATCCATTAGCAGCATATTCTGAAATTATACAATGTCAATAAACGTTACATGATAATCATCATTAATAATAATATTATTACATGTACATTTAATAAGTAATTACAGTAACTGATTGAACTCTAAAAAGGTGGGGAAACACTTGCCTGTCGGCTCATGTTCCCAAAGCGTTTCTTGTTCTCCACTCGTGTTTCTATAACTCGATAGAAACATGGTAGATGTTTTCTATTTCTTAAATATGGTACACTGCATGCCACTTGTACTCACCTGTAACAAGGCAGAAGTTTGGCTTTGAGTTGACTGCTCCAAAAAACTTGATGATATGCTTGTGACTGAGCATGCTCAGAATGCTTGCCTATCAAAACAGAAGAGAAGGTTTATGGGATTACAGGTGTGTACACTAGTGGATACATTTTGTAATTTTCAGGACATTAAATTGTAATATAAAGTATAATTTATTGAATGGTAATTGTCTAGACAAAGGGCATTTTGGTGATCAAGGACATGATTACAGTACATACATGTAGTTACTTTGGATACATGTAATCGTTGGTTTAGCAATCAATTCAATTAATAGCAAAATTAATATACAGTAACAGCTTACTGATATTGAAAATGAAACCTCTACAGTTAGGGGTTATGGTCTGTACCTGTGGAATATTTTACCCTTTCTATGATAAACAAATAAGCAGCTCCATACATAAATGAAAAATAAATTACTTACAGGCATTTTCAAAATTAAAGATGATTTCCAGTCTGTAATGCAAAGCCTCAGCACCCTAATGTTTATTATTTAACATTATAACGGCTCGCTCGCTGGAATGTGAATCAACATTATTCATTACAACCCACATACTGTACCTTATCTTGAGGCCTTTCAAATTCTTTTTCCAACAGCTTCATTGATTTTTACAGCTGTGAAGTTGTTTCATCAAGTGATATAGGAAATAACGAAGCACGCATAAAGTTTCTACCGCTTTGCATCCATAATAGTGGTTGTTTTGAAACTTTGAATTTACTTCATGTAAGTAGTTGCAAAATGTTTACATTCTGTGATATCTTACATGAAACAAAACAAAAACGTAAGCAAATTCTCGAGAATGTGCAGCACGGACTGGAAATCATCTTTAATTCTTATGTTGCACATACCTACATGTAAGTACCCATGCAGTTACTGTACCTACTTCACATCTCAATTATTTTACATGATTGTAACAGCTTAATACAAATTACTTTTCTTGATAAATAAATACAAAATTTCTTGCCATACTGTAATCTACAAGTTTGCTACATGTATATTTAATCTGCCATGGTTTCGTAGTGTACAGTCACATGGAACTACAGTAAGCGTAAACATGGTCTGATACAGACCCATTACTTTCACTCTCAAACACATGTAAGAAATTTGTACTCTAAAACGTTTGTCATAGCAGAAAGGTAATACCCTCACAACATTCAAGATGAGAATAAGAAAAAGTGACCTTTCAGACCTCATTGACAACAATAGCAGTTGCTGCAAACTATGTAAATCATGAACAAAAATATATTATATTATTTCATAGTATTAATTATTATGCTGTAAATAAGTATTTATCAACTTCAACATTTATTTTCTGATTTTTGTTAACTATAGTTATTAGCTATTGACTTTAGTTAGGTGTCCCTAATTAGCTAATCTATGTAATACTATACACTGCCACGTTAATAAAGTTTTCATTCATTCATAATTATTAGTACACCATACATCTAAATTATTTAAACGAAATAGTAAATCACTCAGTGAATATGTAATTGGATTTATATTTTTGTGTGTGTTTGCAAACAACGCTAGTTGACTGAAACATCACGTGAGAACCATCTAAATGCAGTGTTGAACAGCGACTTAAGCTTCGTACTCGCGCATTCGAATTACCTCGTATTCGATTCACTAAATTACATGTCCGGAGTTTCTCACAGATTGAATTGATATTGTTTGATTAAATTTCAAGACAGTATTAGCCACTCAACAACGCCATGGAGACACATAAACTGAGAATCTAACGACAATTAACAGATGACTTTCAGGCGATTTGTAGCGTTGGTACGGCTTTTCTTAATATTGTGCAGTGTTTTCACTTCGATTAAAAAAAAAAAAAAATCATAATATGGTTGTTCTGTTAAATGAACATCTGAGATAAGACATCAGACCTTAGTTCGATCCTCACATGTTCCTGAGCAGACTCGATGGACCGATGCGAGAAAGAACCAGCTAGAGATTCGTCGGGTTTCAAAACAAACCGTTTAACGTTAAAATCAAGAACCGCAACAACAGATTATGTCTTTAAAGTTTGCCAGTTCAATATTTTAAGTTCTCCATCTAAGCACATTTAATCACGTACACTGCACTATCACGTTTCAACATCTGATTCATGAAAAAGTCTGGTAAACTTGCCTCTTTCCCCAAGCTCAGTAGCTTCTTCACCGCCACCTCTTTGTCTTGCGACTTCCACCTTGCCCTGTACACAGAACCAAACGCACCCCCTCCGCACTTCTCGAAGAACTCGAGATCGTCGAAATCGATTGTGACATAGGCCATTCTTATTGAATAAATTCTACATTTTTTGAGCTAAAAAATTGTCCGCGCGAGGCCGCGTGAAATTTCCTATTTCACCTTGTTAGCGGTCAGCGTCTCAACCAAAGAAAACGTGACAGTCGTGTACAATGAAGCAAACTGTCTCGAGTTTCACGTCGGGGAATACTGGGATCGAGATTGCTTAACACGGCGCGAACTTCAAGAAATGGCGCCTGCATTGTTTTCGGTTGTGTTGTGATATTTTTACCCATTTGTCGTCGTTTTAGTCGTTTTAAGCGATTGACAGGCATGTCTGTGAAGGTAAAAGATGTCTTGGAAGCCCTTCAACAGATGCAAAAGAGTCTTGAGTGTTCGATATGGTATGAACGCACCGTAGCTTCGCTTTGTCAAATTGAGCTTCGATAAGTTCTTATGCAACCTCAGTCTACTCCACACAATTGATTCTACATTTAGCTTATCATGTTATGGTTTTGTTTTTCGTTAGCCTTGAATTGTTGAAGGACCCTCACTCAACAAAATGTAATCACCAGTTTTGTGGGTAAGTTGTAAGGTCACATGTTAGGTTGACTGTGCTTATTAAAACTTAGGCTTGTGTGCATGTTAAATTAAACTCAGAATCTCTTGAGAAAGCAATGGTTTTCAGATGTCTAACATCAGCTCTATTGGGAAACAAACTTTTAAAACAAATTTTCTTGTAATTTGTCCGTTCTTATTTCGAAAAAATGTATGCCAAGGTTTCATGATCATTCAATCAGTATGCTGTTGACATGTTATTTCAAAGGTTTAAATGAATACAGGTGTACCATTTTTTTAATTAAGCTTGGGCTCACAATTTACAAGTAAGCTTATTTGTACCAACTTCTATTAGCTGTAGCTGCTAGATGTATTAGTAAAGCTTAGAATCACTCTAAATGAGGGGTTTCATTAAGGGCAAGGCACCAGGCAAATTGGCCAGTTAGGAGCAGAACTTTGCCCAGCTGCTTCATTGATATTTTACACACTGTTGGCTTCTCATGCTATTTTTTTGTCTAACAGTCTTCTTAAAGTTGAAAAAAAAACACAAAAAAAACACAATTTTGGTGGTTATAATATGCATTAGTTTGCTCGTATCTGTATCTTCAAATTGCACAGTGCCCATTCATTGCGAAAAAAAAAAAGAAAGAAAGAAAGAAAGAAAAAGAAAATGTTCTGCATGGAAACTTACTTTAAAGGAGCCAAAATTATGAGCAAATCCACCTATTATTATGGCTACCACAAAAAAGAACATAGCTAATAAGCAATATTTTCTGCTCCACCTGTGAAGAAAGGTCAAGAGGTTAGTAGAGTTTCATGTAAAATGAACTTTGCATGGTGCTGAATTGCCCCAGGACCCCAGAGCTCAGCAGGGGCCTTCAGGTCTTGTAGAATATCTGCCTGGATGTCATACCTTGATGCCCTCCTGTAAAATACATACCTTACTGAAACTCGCGGCCACTCTTTGTTATTTGAAAACAGTCAGTGCATCAGGCAAGTTCTTGAAAAGAGCAGCAAGAAGTCAAAGAACAAGTGGTATTGTCCACTCTGCAAGACTCCTGTGTCCAAACGGTAAGTTACCTTTACTTTTTTACTTGTTCCGGCACATGATACACAATGTGCATACTCAGCGGTTTCATTAAAGGCCTGGCACCAGGGAAATTGACCAGCTGTGAGGAAGATCTTGCCCGCCTAGTTTGACCATCTAGCAGGAAGTTTTTCTCATAAAGAAGTTTTGTTCCAAACATTTTGTCCAGGGCTGTCATTAAGGGCCATAACCCGTAACACGTGTTACTGCTGAGTATATTTGATGGACCCTTGATGTTACAGTTGAACTGGACAATAGTTGATACAATTCACCTACACATAGAAGGTAACAAGTTCGTTATGAGTGTGAAGATCAAGGCTGCAGTCAACTTAAAACTTAATGACAGCCCTGTTGTCCACCTGTGAAAGCCAGTTACCCTCCTGCTGAAAACTTTAATTAATGAAACCCCTGCATGCTGTGTAGCTGCAGTGTACTTCAATATATGTATACCATGGCCTTCTCTTTATCTCATGAAAGCACATCAGTTGTTTGTTGAAAAAAATAAATATTAAATAAATAAGTAATTCCAAATGGCCCTTGATTTCATTTTCCCTGTGATTATCACTTTTTTTATGAGCAACCAAAACTCCAAAAGGTTTTCACAGACGTCATTACAAGGGTCAATTTATGTGAAAAATGCTAATGTGAAAATGTGAAGTGAAATGTAAAAAAGATTATGCAAATTACAAATGGGTATTTTATTATTACAGGAGTCTGACGCCAAATCCTAAATTAAATGAAATTGTTGCTGCAGTGCGCAATTTGCAGGGAGCAGTGCAAGAAGATACTGGAATTCCAACAGGTTAGATCAGCAACGTGTAAAAGACTGATATTTAGAGAGTAATCCCAGGCTTTCCTTCTCAGTGAATTGAAATTTTCCTTTCCTAGGCAAATAACAAATTTCACATATTTTTGAAATACCAGTATATTTTTTTCTACAATTTTTCAAAATCAAGTGCATGTAACAGTCTAACACATTACGTTTTTACATGCTCCAATTATGTACAATAGAGTTTAGGGGGATAAAACCACATCACATGCTACAAACCTAAATATAATAGACCAATCTCGATGTATACAAATTCAGCCTAACACAGTAGACCTCAGCATGAGGCTCTAGAGAATAAGCCCCATAAACTCTGTAGTTATTCCCCAGAGCCTCATGCTGAGGTCTATTGTTTTAGGCTGAATTTTAATGTATCAAAATTGGTCTATTCAATGCCCCATTCAGATTCGATGTGTGGTTTTTGCATCACAATCTCAACTGAGTTTCATTACAGCTGTAACTTTGCAAGTTGTGCATATACACATGTACATCTATATGATTAATTGCAAAGCTTGAAATTTACAGAAAAATATACATGTATGTACATACATTTTGTAATTGGAACTTTCACAGTCACCAAAGTGCATTTTAGTTAAGCTAGAGTGTAGCTTCAGGACTTCCCCTTTACTTGTAAATCCGGTACATGTTACTCCCAGTACCTCTAGGAAGTCGTGTATTAAATAATTTAAAATAATTTGTTACATTGACTACAAAGTACTGTATGATAAAGATCATTCTCATTTCATCTTGAATCTGCTTTACATGTAGGTTCTCCACCTTTGCAGCAATACAAATCATCTAGCACAGCAGGTACTTCAGGATGTGTTTATTCCTCTACCCACCATCCAACTCCTCAAAAACACCAAAATGACTGCAAGGGAATTAAGGGGAAAGTCACAGAGAAGAACCAGTTTAATGTATACAATGATAATGATGGTATGTGAATCCAGTAACCAGTTTGTGTTTGTAACTGCAAAGTAGGATAACAATGGTGATGTATCTAATAGCTGAGTTTGTGTACATGCACTGTAAACTGCTCTACAGTGTATGTGAAAATAATGGCAAACTACACAATATGCCCTTCACTGGTAAGAACACATTGTTTTGACAATATATGTTCTCCGCAGAAACTTGAGGCCAAATCAGAAATGGGTACAACTGCTAATACACTGTAGGTCTTCTAGGGGAGTATACTTATAGAGTGGGAAAAAAAAAGCATATGACAAAGCAAGCAGGATAAAAGTGCTTTGCTTGCCAAATTTTTTCAATGTTTGATCCATGACAACTTGACTTTCATGTGATAATCTCAGTCTTTAAGGCCTTTTGCATCCCATGGTGCGACAANGGCTTTAACATGGGATTTTATGGTATAACCTATTAGCAGAGTCCATATGCATTTTTTTTTTTTTTTTAATTTGTTTATTTGTTTATATCTATAGGTATTAATTTGATTAAAATATACATGTACATGTGATAAAGAAAATCAAATAATAGCCACTGGGATGTTTGTGTAAATATAATTCAATCTAACCTTCAATCTATGTTGTGTTACGTGTTGTAGACAATCACACTCTGGAAAATGGACAGCCTCAATTTGTGTCGAATGTCAATATAAGGTGATTCATATTTGCCTATACAGTATAAAATTATGGACAATAACATATGGATTTACCAGATGGCCAGCTTAGCGTTTTGTCGCAACTGAACAATGGTACCAGTTTTCGTGATTAGCTTAATAGATGGATTTGTGATATACATGTATACTGGTCTATGGTATTTTGACAGGGTTATCCTAAAAATGTCCCACGAAAACAAAACGTCATGTGAGGAAAAAACATACAACAGGCCAAAAAAGATAAAGAAAAAAAAATCGTGAAGTATTAGACTATTAGTGCTTTTGGCAGTGTATGCAGTAGATTTTGACTTTCTCGATTCCAAATCGTTTTCATGAAGATAGGCTTTTTTTTTTTTCCCGGATGCCTGAACCCTTGCGTATCTACTGTTTTTCCCACTGTTAGGTCGACATTAGGACCACGACGAACGCAAACTACAGCAAACATCACAAAATCTAAGAAAGCATCCAACACAAAAACCACAAGAAGGACAAGGAGCTCTAGAAGAATAGCTCAAAAAAGTCACCCTGAGGAAACACTAAACGGAAGGAGTGTCAGTGAAGAGCTACTTCATATGATCGACACCATGCCATTCCAGCCAGTTTCTAAAGGGGGTGAGTTCACATCAGTTAGTTACACATGTACGAGTTTTAATTTTTACATAGTTTGGGAAGGGGAAGTAAAACTGGTTTAAAAAACATTAAAACAAAAAGACACTAGATAGAATCACATCGTTTTACTTTGTGGCATTGTGTACAAGTACATGGGAGTCCGGTTTCTGTAGCACGTAGAAGTCTGTTAATACTTCCCTTGGATTCAGAACAATTCCCGGCGAGATCCCATTTTTATCGCACGAGTGGAGAAGTGCACTGTGAAGTGATGTAGCTTAGATGTATTTCAACGTAGCATTTTAAGGGAGTATTTAGCTAATGTAAGCTAATTGATTGATTGATTGATTGATTGATTGACTGATTGATTGATTTACTGATAAAAATATTTTTAAATAATTTAAAAATTTAATTATTAGTAAATGTAAAAATCTTAATAATTTGTAACATTGGTGCAGAAAAGCCCATTTTAGAGAGCAACAATAAATGTATAAATGTAAGAATTCTAGCGCTTCATCCTACGACCCAGAAAAACCGAATTTCCAGAGATACGTGTATACATGTAGTTTTCGTTTCGTAGAAGTGGGAGATAGTGCTAGGACCACCAATGTACATGTAAGTACTTGCGCACGATAATAAAACAAGAAACAAAAACGAAAAAAATGGGAATGGTCAAGCTCTGGATGTGTGATCCGCCAACTACATGACCACCATAGCGACAAATTTCTTTAATGTGCGTGAATGTGATCCCGTTTCTTGCTAGACACGTCACGTTTCTCATGGGACACGTTATTTTCTCGCGAAACACGACAGTTTCCAGCTCGAAGTGCGCAACGTGGGGGAAGATGACAACTCACTTTTAAACAGTTTTATGACAATAGTACACCCACTCTATCATTTTTGTAGATCCAACATGTCCGACTCAAGATGAGGCACAAGTTGCTGTTGATTCCCGAAGGGACCAGGGAGATGAGGTCAGCCATGATCCTTTAAAGACAACAGAAACTGTAAGCACAGTTAATGGTCGAAAGGTAACAGCAGGCAGTAACGAGACGTGTCAGAGTGCCCCGTTACATCCTGAAAAAACTTCATGTTTAACAACTATCGCTGAGGCGGACTCCTCTGTCAGGGCAAACCCTTGTGACAGTGTAGCATTTTGTGGAAACGAGGATCATTCACAACCCTGTGCAGTTACAACAACACACGACAAGGAAGATGAAAGAGCGGTGTCAAGCACAAAGTTTGACTCTTGTCCTGTTAGTAGCTTGGACACCATGCAAAGTGTATCTATACTTGCTTCCCTGGATTACACTGCAGTTCCTGATGATACTCTCGAAGACCGACAGGAAGGCGCTCGAAAGGACGAAGGTGCCTCCAATAAAGACATACACGATGTGGCGACCAAGATTAGCGGTGAAGGAGAAGAGAAGGAGCCATTTGTTGTTTGCCAAGGACAACAGACCAATGATCGTCAACAAGCGTCTCAAACTGTAAACAAGAAGTTGCCTTCTGAAATCATTGCGGGCTGTGTCGAGGATCATGAAACTCAAAGCTTAGGCTTTGAAGGTTTAGTTTCCTTGTTTGATGAACGCTCTTTGAGTGAACCTGTAGAGGCATCACCAAAAGCAGTTGAAACTGCGAAAGTGCATCCAGATTTGAGTAACATCGGGCAGGAAGAAGTTTCTCCCAGAAAGAAAGGGCGTGGCCACCAGGATGCGCTTTTGCCGGAAACGGCCCAGTCTGATTTGTACGAACGTGTTAAGCAAAGGCAAAGAAGACGACCATCTGAGATGTCGCTGCAATCCAACCGACGTTCCGATTCTCCAAAGTTAAAATCTGCCCAATTGAAGGCGAAGACAAGAAAGAGATCGGCGGATGATGTGGCTGTGTCTACACGAAACGAGTCCATCCACGATGGAAATGCCAGAAAGAAGTTAAAAAAATCTCAAGGTCCTGCACTCCAGCAAGATTCTCCGCTTACGCTGAACGCAGAAAGTTCACGAGAGGAAAGTGGACTTTCTAGTAAGTGTAAAGAGGAGAGAGACGTGCATATAAATGGATCAAAAATCCCATGTGCGAAAGGTAATGATCAAGACGGTGCATTGAGCCTTGGGAGTCAATCGTGTTCAAGTGATAACACCGTGCTTTCAAATGAAATGGTCCCAGCCAGCGTCTCGTCTTCAGAGAAATCGATCCCTTCAGTGATCAATCCAATGATCGCTCATGTTGATCAGGGTTTAGATAACGCACCGAGAGGTTCTACAGAGAACACTAAAAAATGGGGTTCGGAGAAGGGAGGGGAAAGTGACCGTAGAGAAATAACTAAAAATCGTACCTTTATCGAAGACGGTTTGGAAAAGGTTGCAACAAATGAGCAAAGTCCCCAAATAAAGCCAATTCAGGTTGAACGAAAGCAGATGAAAGACGAACCTCAGGACAAGGATAAAGCTCATCAAGACGCAGAGTTCACGAACTGCGAAATTTCCAGTCCAATACAGCAACTATTTTCAACGGCTCTACAGGTGGACGGCTCCGAAGAAAATGGCCTTCCTGACGGAGACGAAGAGAAGAGATCTCATGTGGAAGATACAGAAAGAGGCAGCTCAAGTCAAGTGTCGGTGACTGGTCGCCAGGAATGCCTGGCGTTGGAACCCAGTGAGAATGCCCTGGTGACTTGTTGTGGTCTCCAAAGGTCCCCGTTGCAAGAAGATGTGGACGAACAGACAACTAATCAAAGTAGCATCAACGATATCCAAAAACTACGAAACGCCCGTAGCAGTTCAGAATCAGTTCCAAAGCAGAAGCAATTGACAAGTTCTTTCAACAGGCATTCTCAGGAGAAGATCTTGTCAGAGGTAACAGGAACAAGCGGCAGTGAAATCGAAGGCAAAAAGTCTAATATAACTGCTGAAGCTGGGGGCAAAACATCTGGGCCGTCGAGTGTGGAAGCAGACTTTTTAGACAACACCCCAACTCAAAGTTCCTTGGACGTCATGGATGCAGTGACCCCTTGTCTGTTTGAAAACGAAAGCTGGGAGACTCCAAATAGGAAAATGAGTCAAAAGAAATCTGGAAACAAAAGGGGACCTAAGATCGCGTCAGACATCAGTGGGAGCAATTCCAAAATTGCGTCCAGAGGTTCCCAAACTCTTGTTCTCAGTTGTATAACTGTAACCGAAGAGGAGAAAATTGTCGATAAAGCTGGTTTTGGAGGAATAACTTCATTGGATGGTAGCCCAGCTGTAGCCAGAAATGCTGAAAACCAACAGTTCTCTAATGTGGCTCGCTGCTCTGATGGTAGCATCAAGGAGCTGACGTCGGACACGGACGCAGAAGGCACTCAGAGCTACGGGACCAGTCAGAGTATCTCTGTTCTTCATGATTTGGAGTTTCCACTGCCAGAACGCCAAGAGGACGCGGATGCTGCTTGCAGTGAACAAAGAGACGACAGAGGGAAGTCCTCGCAGAAAGTCCACGCAGAATCAAAAGAAGATGCTCCTTGGGCAGAACCGCTTCCAAAGAAACCAAGAAGTGGCGAACCGTTCTCAACGTCACGCAGTTTAAATCCAATAAACGTCACACTTGACCAGGGGATTGGTCCCAGCATCGAGATGACCCGCGACTCAGAGTATACGGAAAGTGACGTTATACCACCTACGCCACCGGTGAAACCTGTTGCTAAACAGGTTTTCAGTTCTCGAAGTCCTACATGTATGAAGTTAACATGCCCCAAAATAAAACCACAAGGGAAAGACGAGGCAACCTGTCACTCAGAACGTGTGGTTGTAAAACAAAAGAGGCGAGTAAAGAGTACTCGTGTGTCAAACGCAGTGAAATCGCAGGATAGCGAAGGGAACAGAGCTGGAACACGATGTAATGCCACATGCAGTGAAGACAGCGTCTCATTGCTGAAAAAGCACGAAAGGACTCCAGAGGCGCCAAATGCTCATACCATAGACGCCAGTCAAACCCTAGAGCCTGACCCCAACAAACAATTACAATCTTCGCCGGGAAAAAACGGGAGCAAATTTGAAAAATATCCTTACGAATCGCCAACGGACTTGAAAAATTGCGTTCAGTCGATCAGTAAAGAGCAGAAACGAAACGGTGTTTCGTCTGAAATCACACATGATTCTGACAGTTTACACGACAAAGATGATAGTCAAGTTTCACAAAAAGAAAGCCAAAGGGTCTTTGCAAAGTTTGGAGTGAAAAAAAGCACAGACTCAGTGGATAAACCTTTGGGTGAAATACAGGAGGAAAGTGTTAATTCCTCACCTCGCAATCTTGTGAAACGAAGAGTTTATGATATTGTAGATTCGTTTGATTGGTCGAGGACTATAGACAAGGGTGAAGGCAATAGAGATTCACAAGATGGCTCTGCAATTCTCATTGTCGACGATAATAAAGACACCGAACGTGTTAAAGAAAATGAAAAGAAAGATGAAAATGAAGCTTTGGCAGATGACTTCTTCCCAGAGAAGTCCGTAGCGGGAAAATTCCAAGAAAATGATGATCATGACCGCAACCTTGTTGATGTTCAAAATGCAGATTTCCGTGATAGAGACGAGGATGGCAATTTCCCTTGCACTTACGATGGAGAGGATTCTTCGAGCGATGAAGCTTTGTTAAAACCGGTGTTCCTTCCCAAGGAATTTGAGTCAGATACCAATGCAACGACTTGCGAGGGAGGCGCCGAAAATGAAGAGGAGCAAGAGACAGCATTTTCTCAAGAACTAATTCCCTCTGAAAACGAGGATGAAGACGATGACGATGGAATCACATGTGAGTAACAGCACGCCATTTTAATAAATTATTCAGGCCTAGTTCACACAAGCGACATAACTACATAATGACATAATTATAACGACATCGGAAGGACGTTATGTCCTTATGTTTGCAGTATGAGGATCCTGACATGATGACAAAAGAGCAACATAACAGCATGAACATAACGACATAAGAAAAAAACTGATATTTTCGTTATGTTTTCATGTCGATGTTCTCATAACCGACAAAGGCGATTATGTCGCTACTGGGAAGTAGGGCTAATACTGTAACTTCAACGATGCGTTATGAACTTTGACATTGCTTTTCAGCAATATGCTTAGTACCAGCTTTGAGAATTTGATCACACAGCTATATGTTTCGTCTGTGAAGTTCCATAGAGAAGGTATATATTAAGCATTAATTATTTAGGACTGAAAGGTTAGGATTCAACTGGGTTCTTTTCTTCTACCTTTGTCATTCAGCGTCGTGTAAAGCACTGGACAGTACTGCTGCATCGTCTGCTACGTTTCTGTCGGAAGCTGCAGCCTCTACTCAGGTAAGAATGGTAGTAGAGTCACTATAGCTAAATTCCCCTTACTCCCTGGAATACATCTGTTATAGTACTGGGTGGAGCAATGTTTTTAAACATCAGGATAGGTTTTCTTATGTGAACACGTGAGGATTTGCCCAAGATATTGAAGAAATGTTGTGTGGGAAGATTTCTGCCCCATCTTCCATCATTAAAAATTCATTGGAAGGCCGCGCTCTACCGATTGAACTTAGTCTTAATTGAATGCATTTTTTCTCTCTGTTTTTCCGCACAGAAAATGGAAGTCCTACGCCAGGACGTGGAAGAGATTGAAAAGGAGATGGAGGAGTTGAGAGCGTATCTTGCTAAAACCGACGAGAAACGAGAGGAAGCGGAAGACACTGTTGATAACATGGATTACCAAGAGGAGGGTAAGAAGCCTTTTCTTGAAATAGAATCCAGGTGATCGTGCTTTCATCTCATAACTTTTCCGTACCTTGAATTCCCTTTGAGGCCTTTCCCCACGACCCTACAGTCATCCCAGTCTGACTATTGTAGAAGCATCGAAAAATAATTAAGTACAAGTAGTGAGAAGATCTTATAACTTCTGTTTCAATCATAACGAAACGCTTATAAGGTAATATTATCATTTCAGATTCATGTGATGACCCAGACATGTTACCTTCACTCACTCCACCCCCTCCATTAACACCCAAGAGCATCCCACCCATGCGACAACTTTCCTCCCCCCTGAAAAATGTTTCACGCTATCTAGATCAGGAGGGGCAGTCTTCAGGTGAAGACAGCGATTGTGAAGACCTGACGAGGACTAATGAAGAGGAACAGTGCGAGCTAAGGAAAAACACGAAAAACGAAGGAGTCGGGAGTGTCGGAGAGATGGAGGATGCTAACAAAACGTGTACAAGGAAACGCCCTCTTTCTCCGAGTGATGAAGATGATAGCTTAACTATAACAGCGGTGAAAAACCGACAAGCTGGAACCCCTTCTCCACCGTCCAGTTGTCGTTCAAAACAAAAATCTCAAGATGAAGACGAAAAGGAGTTGATCGTGATTGACGATCGAGACTCTGTTCACTCGAAAACTGGTTCTCTTTTGCTTGTCAAGAGGAGGAAAGTGGCAGATGAACTCGTCCCCAAGAAATCTCCGGTCGTCAGTTTGTTATTCACGAGAGCACGGAAAGAGTTCGCTAAAGCTAGCTCTGATTCCCCAAGGCCAGTCGAGCAGAATAGAGCACCGTCACCTGTTAAGAAAAAGTCGTCACCTTTCATCTATTCCCGAAAACGTGGTGCAGAGATCTCGCCGATAAAGGGGCAGGAGCCTCCGCGGGTAATGTCACGTGATAATGCGTCACATGACATAATGGCACGTGAAAGTGTGTCACGCGATGTTGCGTCACGTGATGAATGTCGTTCACCGGATCAGGAGGGTAGAAAGTTAAAGGTTGTGACGAATGCAACAACAAGCGTGGAAAAAGAGGATAAGAACTGTGGGGGAACTGGAACAAAGCATTTGTCTTTCGTGGCGACGCGTCTAAACAGGAAGCAGCTAGTAAGTAAGACTTGCTCTGGAAGTGAACTGAAACTTGATTTGTTACCTTTTGCTTTCCGACTCTGTTCATTAGAGACAGTACAAAACAGAAAACGCACTAAGGCTATTTGTAGGTCTAAGCCACAAATATAAAGTGCCTGAAATCCTCATCAATTAATCAATCAATTCTGTTTTACTGTAAGTTGTGGGAAACACTCGAAATAAATTCGTCTTAGACACTTAAGTATAGTAAGCTTAAGCTTATATCCCTCTGCATTTCACTTGTTGTTAATATTTTCACTCGCCTAACGGATTCGCACAAAACAGAAGCAAGACTGGTAAAATTATGCTGCAACACTACACTATTAAATACAAAATTTACTCTCACATACCTGCATTGCTCACCCGTAATCTAGACGAATCATTTGCATTAAGGAAATTACGCACAAATACTCAGAAAAGTTTGCATTTTGTCTCAGGCCGAAGCTCGCGCCCTTGCCGAAACGTATGGCGGAAAACTAGCCAGTGAGTTCAACAGCAAGACAAGCCACGTGATTATGGCGACAGGTTAGAGCAGGTTGTTGTTGTTGTTGATGTTGTTGTTGTTGTTGTTGTTGTTGTTGTTGTTTTCTCCTGTGTAAAACCGTCGAAGTGGAACTAACGTCACTTACAGTGCCAATGGTTGCGTATGTGGGAGATGAAGCAAGAAGTTTTGTGACGTTGAACTGGCTCTCACTTTCTCTAATAAGATCATCGTCATTGACCTCTGCCCTTCAAAATTTTGTTTGAATTCTAGTTCAGTGAAAAATGTTGAAGTTAGCAAACAAAAGTCGCGTTGAAAAAGTATAGTGTTTACCTTTTTTTTTTTCTTTGTCTTTTCAGATGAGAACATGCAGGTGACACGTCAGAGTTATACCATGAAGTACCTATTAGGACTAGCCCTTGGGAAATGGATTGTCAGTCACCACTGTGAGTCCCAAATTTCATTTTGCCAGTAAAGTATGCTTATTCCGACCGCCAAAAAAGTTTCACCTCTACCGTATGTAGGACAATGTTTGATGGCTACTTATCAAGTGTATCTGATATTCTTAGAAGTACAGTTTCATTTGCCTGCTGCCGCAACATAAATTTCTCTATAAACGTACCACCTCTGACGATTGAAGCATTCGTTTGAGTTTTCACGTTCTGCAATTTGTCTGATAACTCATTGCGAAGTTGTATTCACACGTTGCAGTAATATAACACGCAAATTGTACACCTCGCATTGTTTGCGCTTTACTTGTCACAACTGTCATGACTACGTAACCCTTATTTTTAATAACTTTTCGCGCGTATTAAACTTTGCGATTTTCGCGGTTTACAAAAAAATCGCAAAATTTAATACCAGATCATGTAAGAAAACAATACAATTACATGGATTTAAAATATTCGCGGGCTCATTGCCGACTTGATCGTTGTCTAATTTTTACCCTTGAAAATATAGTCTTAACGGTCTTGTTTAGTTAGCACTCTTCCTCCGATTCACTGTTATCTTCAGCTTGTAAATCTGGCAAAACCTCTTTAGTACAGTCATCAAATTTTCAATTTGTAGGCTCCTTGTAGTGTCAGGGGGTTCTTGTGGGAGATTAAAGCAATGGCAAAACCGCAAAATTTACGGTTTTTTCCTTAAATCGCGAAAATATCATGAGGTACTCAAGAAATAAAGCTCCCGAATTTTGATGGAATAAGGTACGCGCAATAATTAGTAAGAGTGAGGTAGTAATAACAATAGCTAAGCTTAAATGCATGGTCGTGGCAAATTTAATGATGAAGTGTTCATGATGTATTAGTCAATTTGCCCTTTTTTTGTTCCCTTCCTTTCAGGGATCGCTGCATGTATTCAAGCCAAAGCCGTTGTACCTGAGGTAATTGAATGATGAATGTTTCTCGCCTTATGGGTCCTTTCCACGGGCCTTTAACTCTTATGCTTCATGCAGTCCAATTCCTTTACTGTTTTTCTCTATGGAGCGAGGAGAATCTGAAATGTTTTGTCTTGTCCATCTCTTGTGTTCACTTTTTGTTTGTTTGTTTGTTTTTTTGTTTGTCTGTTGTTTTTGTTGTAAATGTTATTATTTTTTTTCTTTCCTGTCGTTTTTAGTCCTCGTTAGTCTTTATCTGTTTGCTTGTTTGTTTGTTTGTCTGTTTGTTTGGTTTGTTGGTTGGTTGGTTGGTTGGTTGGTTGGTTGTTGAATTCGGCTGGTTATGTAAAGTTCGACATCGGTGCAAGACCTTTGCCCTATTCCAGATTGCTGCTTTTACCTTATTGGTTCACCTTTGGAGAATCTTTGGGAGAACGAGCTTAAACCGAGGGGACAAAACTTTCTTTCAGGTGGAATATGAAGTGAAAGGCGATCCAGGTCTCGGACAAGCCTCCATCCCTCGCTTGGCAAGAACATCCAGAAGTAACAAGGTAAAAGTTATAACGTTCAACAAACAACTCATCACCCCTTGAGCTTTTACATAGTCTCTTCGTTGCCTTTGTCTCGATCTTCACGAAGTTAACGGTTGTGAAAGAGATTTTCTTATAGCCAAGCAGATTACGACCGCTCGTTTTGTCGGCCAACATTGTTAATCAGTTTGAACATAATGACATGTTCAGTTGATGTACACGTAACGTTCCAAAAATGTCATTTTCATTCAAAGAGTTTATCATCTTTTTGGAAATCCTACAATTTTCGTTGGCTAGAAAAGTCACGACCTGTTTCTGTACACTAGTTTTTCATTTCCCTGTTCGAACTGACTAGTACATATAGTTCAGTTTGCTTCCTAATAAATATTATCTTCTTCTTTAATGTAGGAGGAGGCACTTTTATTCGAAGACGTTGATGTTGTCTGTTTTGGCGAATTCAGCGCCGCGGTCACTAAAGGTAATTTCATCAAACTGCTTTGGCCATTCCTGTTCAAGTTTTTCGTTTCGTTGTCTTCTGTTAGAGGGAACGGAAAACTCTGAGAAGAGATGTTCACATCTTGGACAGAATTTTGTCTTTTAACCCTGTTTGCTTTAACAAAGTGAAAAGCCTCTTAAGACCAACTGTCTCACATCTGTCGGAGCTTAACTCCCGTCCCCACATTATGTTAGCGTTATGTCAAGTTGTCCCAGCAATCCGCCGGTACCCATTATGTCCCAACTTGGAGAGAAGCACTGTGAGAATAGCGTGGCTTGCCCAAGAACACATCGCAATGTCCCCAGCGACGGCTTGAACCCGAGGCGCTCGATCCGGAGTTGAGAGATCATAAGCCAAGGGGGGTCACGTCGCCACACCACTATACGTATAAATAATTCATATCTCTTATTGCAGAACAACTTACCCAGTTGTTAAGGTTTTGTGGCGCCCGTGTCTATGTCGATGCTGAAAGTTTAAAAAGAATGGATAAGGTCTGTTATCATATCTTATTGTTTTCTGCCATTTGTGGTTTTCGTTATAATTATATAATCCAAAACTTCAGAACTCATTTCCCATTATTGTCTTTCCAGAATCGTCGAAAGGTTGTCGTCATCGATAAAGAAACTCGAAACAGCGTCGACGATGTGAAGGGTATTGAACTTCTTTCTCTCGTATTGCTTGTTCGGAAACTTACTTTATCCAGCCAATCTAGGGTTGAACAGAATTAGCGACAACTCAACAGACTAGACATTTAGTTATCGACAACTATTTGTTAGCGAAGGTACACACAACTTAAGCAGTTGTGAAATTAAAGCCTGAAAAAATTCAGACCTGAACGGAATTCGAACCCATGACCTCTGCGTTACCGGTGCAGTGCTCTACCAACTGAGCTATCAAGCCAACTGGGAACTGGTCATATTGTGAGTTCGTAATATACCCGTAGATGGTGAAGAATACAAGTGAATGTATAAACGATCATATATTTGAACTGCGGAGAAAGATATGACGATATGATTGAAATGTTATCGACAACTGCCCATATTGTGTCCGATGCGAGCATTCCACACATTGGAGTGTTAGTTGCCGATGCTAGCGAGGCCTTGGGAGCTAACGTTCACTACGCATGCCCAAAACACAATACGCATGCTCAAATCACTCTCCACTGACACTTGCAACTAAACAATGATTGAGTGATTCCAACATACGGGAAAAACTGTCAAAAACGTGGTCAAAACTTTAACGTTTAGTAGTCTAGAAACCCGGTCTAGAACTCATCTCACTCTCTCTCTCTCTATTTTTTTTTTCTGTTGTCATAACAAATAGTTGTGGAAAACTAAATGTCTGTAGAGGTCCTAATATTTTGTCTACCCTATACATTTTTTTCTTGAACTTTAACAGATTAACGTTGATCGCATAAAATTTCAATCTGCAAACATTACATTTGCAATACCGCTATTTTCCTCCCTTATTAAGTAATATTTTTGGCCCTTGTAGCAGATATATATATGAAATTTTAAAAATAATGTAAAGTATGTTTATTAAAAAAATATTTAAGTAATAAGTAAAACTTAAAAAAAAGTGTTTCCACTCTCAGTTTTTGTTATTCCCTTTTAGATACCTTTTGAAAGTCTGTCAGTTCGCTCTCTAAACATTTCTGTATCGTTTCCATTTTTGTAGCTATTTGCCGCCAGTTGAACACAATGCCTGTGTCTTTAGAGTGGGTCACGGATAGCATTGCAAATTACAAGTAAGTGCGAACAAGGCAACCTACGTTCCTGCCTGCCTCCCAGTCTGTCTGCTTTTTCTGTCTGTCTGCTTTGATTGTCTATTTTTCTGTTTGTCTCTTTTGTCTGTCTTTCTGTCTGTCCGACTGTTGGACTAGACTGTGTTTTATTTATTGTTCATACATATTACTATTACCTCTCGGAGTGACTTACTGCAATACGAGCTTAGTTTCACAATTGTTAAAAGAACGTTATAAAATCCGTTAAGCTTTGGGCCGGAAAAATTAATGAATTCCCCTAGGATTGGATGTAAGCCCATTGTTGGTTATCTTGACATCCTCTCTGATTGAATTTGTTTTTATTTGTCCACAGGGTTCAAGATTTAAGAGATTATGTCATGGAATTCTACTAACGAGACAAAAATGAAGCTTCACAAGAAGACTACGATGCAAATTTAAAAAACAAAAAACAAACAATAGTTGAGCAATATGTATTCAATCCAATCAGAAGACAAAAAAAACCGCTTTAAAATCGAAGGGAAATTCTCAACCTTGGTAGACATCAATAAATAATTTTTAAGAAGGAAAAAAAGGAAACATGTCCGTTTTCTCTTTGTCTTGTACATATAAAGGTTTTTTTTTTGGTAAGAGTGTGAAATGACATCGTACACTGTATAGCTAGAACCGTGTGGTCTTCTTTCAAGAGGTGCAAATTTAAAATTGTAATTACAAAGCACTTGAGTTAGATATTTGAATTGTCAATTTTAGAGCAAATGGCTATTTGTGATTGTTATTATTCCTTTTAATCTAAATTGTAAATATACGCACACTGTATGCCGCGGATAATACCATTTGCTATAACAAAGAAATTGTCGCTCTTCTTAACCATCGCCATCTTTTTAACGAAGTTACAACTAAACGTATTTGACGGAAGTCGATGATATCATGCGCCACAAAGTAACAGAAAATTCTACCTCCGGTTGCGCTCTGTACTCAAAACCCCATGAACAAATATTTGTTGCCGCCCCACTAACCTCACATAGCTGTATATACAGCTAGAAAGAAGCCCTATCGAAAGCGCACTGTACGTCGAACTCAGATTAAAGATGTATTCTTTGAAATGGTGACAATTTTTTTTAGCTATTTTCCGAAGAAAAAGAAAACCCTTCCGAGGTCCCGAGCATATCACGCCGGAGGAATTTGAAAACGGATGTGTCACTCAGAAAACGCATTAAGTGTTTTTCGTGCACACTACGCCGGAAGAATTAAAAAACGCAACAATCACCGGTCATTTTGAATTTTTGTTTGAGGAAAATCACATGGTTCTCGAGTAACTACAGCGTTTTCGAAAAGCTCCTTGTTCAAAGTGTTTTCCGTTCTCACGCGAAAACGCAAAGCCGGCGTTTTCAAGAGCGTTTTCGGAAACTAGTCCGTTTTCGTGACGGAGTGTGGACAGGCGGTAAGGCCAAACCGTAGAAATAAAGCTGCGTTTTCAAATTTCTCCGGCGTAGTGTGGACGTTGCCCTACCTAACCGCGCCATATTGGAGGTCGCCTGGGTACGAAAATAGAAATATTAGTTTCCAGTCGATTTGCGGAGAGTGGAAACGCCTTGCAAGTTTCGCTTTCGTTGTAACTTCTATCGTACTATTGTGAAAGCGCTCTTTGGTTCGCCGATAGTTAGTGGAGGGGACTAATTATGGTTCGCCTAAATGGTTGGTGCTCTGGTTGGCCCCCGTAGCTCTCCGATAGCTCTCGGTAACACTGTCTTGGGAAATGGTGTATTTATAGCTTCATGACCACTTCTCATCATTGAAAGCTGCCGTTGTTCTAACCGCCGACGCCTTGCGCGCGACGGACTGTTAGCAGTGGGGATTTCCCGTAAATGAGTGCAGAACTTAGCTTCATCGCCGTTATGAGGTATGCGTATACGTAAAAATAGCGCACTTCGGTAGTTCCCTGTCGATGCGAACTGTTTTATGTAGACAAATATCTCTTAGATATTGCGTAATCCGAGCTATAGTTCGTTTGAGCTTCATCGTCATAAACAGAGTTCTTTATAATCTCAGGGTTTGATTTTTGTGAAATCTTCAGCTGAGCAAGTGGAACACAAGAAACCGCCAACATGAACCTACAGAACGGAGGTATTGTCATGAACAATGTAATATTTTACTTGTTGTTTCTTCTGTGAGTGAATGAATTCTGCCATGTCCGGCATGCAGCTATCTTGAGACTCATTAAACTTATGCCATTTAACATACCGCAAACGAGTCAAGTACTTGTAAAGCCTTCTTGTAGGCATTTGCTGTAGATATTCTTGTCCGTTAGTTCTTCAGCCTCAAAGAAATTATATTAATACATAAATTTAGGGTGACCCGACGCTTACATTTATAACTTGCAAGTAGTTAATTTTGTTACACAGCAGAGCCACTGTGAAAAATGCATCATGAATTGATATATCATGTATACATTGGGCGATGTGGTGAACAAGGGATATATAAATATGTTTATCCAGTGCAATTTTATTCCACTTGATCTATCTATAGATATCATTTTTATGGCCAACAGCTGTTTTATCCAGTGAAACCTCCATTCGGCAGACACTCTCAAGACTTTCCCTTAAGTCTGGTGTCTTCAAGAGAGTGTCTGCTCAACAGAGGTTTATTAACTAAAGATTGCGCTATATTTATTAACAATCATAATGTGACTTCTGGAACCGGGCCACCTTAAAAAGAGTTATAACCAATCAGAACATTACTTGAGAACAAAGGATGGTATCTTTTTTCTTGAATAAACTGATAACATGGAAGAATGCAAACAATAGTTCTATTTAACAAAATGGGAAACCCAACAAAAGTGTTAGTCATGGTTGGTGGAATGAATAAACTGGTGGTATTTCCTACTTTCTCATTGTATTGCCACTTCCTTCATGTAATGCCAGGTTCATGGCGACTGTTGAAAAGCTGAACTGTCACTTGCTAGACAACTTGTCACAATGAGATTAGCGTGTGTGGGAGATGCTTTACTAATCGGGTAAGACCAGAGATCGCGGAAAGTCAGCTGTGATTGGCGGTGATTTAATTGACGATAATGGAACATAAACTGCAATACAATGTGGTGAATAAACTAATTACTAGATGATAAGAGATTTCAAGATGACAAGAGTCTTGAATCAATAATAGCAAACATTCCAATCGTAACTGCGGTGTGACAATACTTCCAGTCAAACTTCTCAGTAAAGACACAACTAAAATAATCAGTGATACCAAGCAGATACATGTACTGCTAACTGTCCTAAATAAATGCAGTTAATGATAACTCTCTAAAATCTTGAAAGCTATAAAATTGCACAATGTGATTAAAATGTGCTTGTGCGAGCGCCACTGCAAGCGATGTGGGAACTTGCTAGGGAGGAAAGGACTTTAAAATTGCCAGAGATTCTTATGGGAAGCTGCTAAATAGAAACCTAAGTTAGGGGGAGTATAAACTACAAACTAAGATTTATCACTACAGAAGACGAAACGAAAACTTTGAAAACTGGGGTGCTGCCATGTGCTGGACCTGGCACAATAGGCTGTTGTATAAAGACTGCAACTAATGCTAATGGTACTAAAGGTTCAAAACATCCAAACTTTTACTTAAAATCAAGCATAGAAAATAGTTTGTACTTACATATCCCTTCCCGCTTGCACTCTAAATAACCAAGGGTAGCTTAAAACTTAATTCACTTAAAACACTTACTGTGCACAATAAAGTGAAACTTGAACTACTGGCGGGAATATGCCGCTGCCCCTATCTATATACATTCACTTGTGAAAGCTAATGATGTAATTGCTGAGTAACAAATTGGCAAATCAGAAAGAATCAAGATTAATAATTATTACTGAATTAGAGAAGCCTCAATATAGTGGACATTCATTACACTTCAGGACTAGCCCCAACATTTCAGCCATAGATGGATAAATATGATACTAGGGTTTTTTTGTTTTGTTTTGTTTTGTTTTGTTTTGTTTTGTTTTGTTTTGNCATCCTTTTTTCAGAAATTAACAAATTTTTCAATATTTTGAAATTCTCCCAAAATCTGACCTTTTAGAAATGAAACAAAATTAATGTAGAGCCTAATAAAGATTAAAATAAAAATATTAAATCAATGAAAAAAGTCCTAATAAAGTAATTAATATGCTTTGTCCAGTCTTGACATTTTTTCAGAATTAGTCACATGACCATGGACATGGCCTGATGATGTCATCACAGATGTCACTGATCATGAAAAACGTAAAACACATGAAATGACTCTGAACTAACTAGAATGATGGAGTCACACAAGAATAAATTTTCCTTAGCAACAGCTCAAAAAGATCAGTTAATAGGCCATTAAAGACCTTCTAAAGATCCCTTTAGATAAGGATCTTCTGTGGATGCTTAAATATCCTGAAAGATCTCGGAAAGATACTTACAAGTGAAGATTTTCCTAGCACAGATAGTCTGTTGATTTTTTTTTTCTTCATATATACAGATCAGTTAATTTCAACAATACCCTACAGAGTGTACACTCAGTTGACCACACTGTTAGCAAGAGACAAAATAAACATTGCAGGCAGGTTGTTCAACTTAACATTAGAGGAAGCTATGTCATTAAGGGACAACACAGAACATGGCTGCCAAGGCATGGATGGTGTTTTTCAGCTGATGAGGGAACGGCATGTCAACCTTGGCCAACTTGTGCAAGTGTTGAAGGAAATGCAGCGATTTGATGCTTTAAGTGTGCTTACTGAAGCAGGATACCCTGATCATCCAACACTGCATCCCTATGTAGCTTCAGGTAAGGTAAAGTCTGCATACAAGCCAAGTGGCCCATCAGGCCAGAGCTTCGCCTTATGGGTCCTTTCCACGGGCCTTTAACTCTTATGCTTCATGCAGTCCAATTCCTTTACTGTTTTTATCTATGGAGCGAGGAGAATCTGAAATGCTTTGTCTTGTCCATGTCTTGTGTTCACTTTTTGTTTGTTTGTTTGTTTTTTGGTTTGTCTGTTGTTTTTGTTGTAAATGTTGTTATTATTTTTTTCTTTCCTGTCGTTTTTAGTCCTCGTTAGTCTTTATCTGTTTGCTTGTTTGTTTGTTTGTCTGTTTGTTTGGTTTGTTGGTTGGTTGGTTGGTTGGTTGGTTGGTTGTTGAATTCGGCTGGTTATGTAAAGTTCGACATCGGTGCAAGACCTTTGCCCTATTCCAGATTGCTGCTTTTACCTTATTGGTTCACCTTTGGAGAATCTTTGGGAGAACGAGCTTAAACCGAGGGGACAAAACTTTCTTTCAGGTGGAATATGAAGTGAAAGGCGATCCAGGTCTCGGACAAGCCTCCATCCCTCGCTTGGCAAGAACATCCAGAAGTAACAAGGTAAAAGTTATAACGTTCAACAAACAACTCATCACCCCTTGAGCTTTTACATAGTCTCTTCGTTGCCTTTGTCTCGATCTTCACGAAGTTAACGGTTGTGAAAGAGATTTTCTTATAGCCAAGCAGATTACGACCGCTCGTTTTGTCGGCCAACATTGTTAATCAGTTTGAACATAATGACATGTTCAGTTGATGTACACGTAACGTTCCAAAAATGTCATTTTCATTCAAAGAGTTTATCATCTTTTTGGAAATCCTACAATTTTCGTTGGCTAGAAAAGTCACGACCTGTTTCTGTACACTAGTTTTTCATTTCCCTGTTCGAACTGACTAGTACATATAGTTCAGTTTGCTTCCTAATAAATATTATCTTCTTCTTTAATGTAGGAGGAGGCACTTTTATTCGAAGACGTTGATGTTGTCTGTTTTGGCGAATTCAGCGCCGCGGTCACTAAAGGTAATTTCATCAAACTGCTTTGGCCATTCCTGTTCAAGTTTTTCGTTTCGTTGTCTTCTGTTAGAGGGAACGGAAAACTCTGAGAAGAGATGTTCACATCTTGGACAGAATTTTGTCTTTTAACCCTGTTTGCTTTAACAAAGTGAAAAGCCTCTTAAGACCAACTGTCTCACATCTGTCGGAGCTTAACTCCCGTCCCCACATTATGTTAGCGTTATGTCAAGTTGTCCCAGCAATCCGCCGGTACCCATTATGTCCCAACTTGGAGAGAAGCACTGTGAGAATAGCGTGTCTTGCCCAAGAACACATCGCAATGTCCCCAGCGACGGCTTGAACCCGAGGCGCTCGATCCGGAGTTGAGAGATCATAAGCCAAGGGGGGTCACGTCGCCACACCACTATACGTATAAATAATTCATATCTCTTATTGCAGAACAACTTACCCAGTTGTTAAGGTTTTGTGGCGCCCGTGTCTATGTCGATGCTGAAAGTTTAAAAAGAATGGATAAGGTCTGTTATCATATCTTATTGTTTTCTGCCATTTGTGGTTTTCGTTATAATTATATAATCCAAAACTTCAGAACTCATTTCCCATTATTGTCTTTCCAGAATCGTCGAAAGGTTGTCGTCATCGATAAAGAAACTCGAAACAGCGTCGACGATGTGAAGGGTATTGAACTTCTTTCTCTCGTATTGCTTGTTCGGAAACTTACTTTATCCAGCCAATCTAGGGTTGAACAGAATTAGCGACAACTCAACAGACTAGACATTTAGTTATCGACAACTATTTGTTAGCGAAGGTACACACAACTTAAGCAGTTGTGAAATTAAAGCCTGAAAAAATTCAGACCTGAACGGAATTCGAACCCATGACCTCTGCGTTACCGGTGCAGTGCTCTACCAACTGAGCTATCAAGCCAACTGGGAACTGGTCATATTGTGAGTTCGTAATATACCCGTAGATGGTGAAGAATACAAGTGAATGTATAAACGATCATATATTTGAACTGCGGAGAAAGATATGACGATATGATTGAAATGTTATCGACAACTGCCCATATTGTGTCCGATGCGAGCATTCCACACATTGGAGTGTTAGTTGCCGATGCTAGCGAGGCCTTGGGAGCTAACGTTCA